TAACACATGTATAATGTATCAACATATGTTCATAAATTAATTTGTAAAAATATATTATTTCCAATTTTAAGTTACTATTATTGTTTATATGCTCTAACATCACTGTTCTTCCTCTTGTCCTATTGCCTTTACTCAAGTGTAATCAAGGCCTTCACCAGAAAGATACAACTGTAAATGTATCTATCCACAGGTGGGAAATTTAACACATTTGCTTTGTCAGGAACTGGATAAAGGACAAGAAAAGCTGAACAAAGGGAAGCTGTTTTAATTCATATGCTCCAGGCCACAGAAGACTTTGAAATAAAGTAGCACTTTCTTTTTCCTTTTTTTGTTACAAATGTACTATTGCATAGGCACTCATCCTGTTTGACTTAGGGAGACTAGTCTTTTATGAGGTTGCCTTCTCCCAGTACCTCTGGGAATTCTGATACCATTTGTTACATGCTCTTAAATTATATTCTAAATCAGAACTCACAGGTCACTTGGAATACCACAGATCTGTTGCTGAACTATGCCCCCCAATTCTGAGTTGAGCTTTATTTTATGTATTTCTCGGGGTGGGATTGGTTCTCCCCTCAAGAAGTTTCACTGCAAGTGTAATGGTAACTTCATTCCTCAATTCTCTAAAGCACAACTGCACTATGTAATGCTTAACAAGACTTCACTAAAAGAAACCAGGAACAGGAATTATATCATAGAAACCTTGAAATTGGTTGTGGCTACATTTAGAATCCACAGTCCCAAGCCACATGTCAGTCATCTCCTCACACCTTGTCCTGTTTAGATCTTGACCTGCCTCACTGTGGTGAAAATCAACCTTCCTGCCATTCCTTGTCTCTTCCATTTTATAGAGTCCAGCTTACCTTCTGGCAAAGAGGCAAGAAGAGCTTCCTAAGTGCAGTATACATCTTCTCCTACAGTCTAGACACCAGCTCCCTCAGGTCAGAAAGAAAAGAAATGGCTTTTCCTTCCTCCTGACTCCCTCAGGAACCCTCAATCTCTTGATTGATTTCCAATCAAGTTTCTGCCCTTGACTGACCTCTCCCCAGCTTGGCTCATGGGGATCATGCATTCTTTTTAGGGAGAACCGCACCCCCTACCACACGCATTGGTCTCACCCTAGTCTCCTTTCAGGGCAATCCCAAAATACAGGATTACTTGTGTTTTCACCATTGTGTAGCATGTTAAGCATTAGAAAGCTTCCATGTTGTCAAGGAACAACAAAGCTCAGTTTCTGTTTTCAGAATTTTACGAGTACGTGCTTGCTTGTATAGAAAAGCTCACAAACATAGACATTCCCTGAGAACAAATGAAGAAACAATAACGCTAACAAAGGCAATCTTAATCAGAACAAAATGACAAAGGACAGCATTTATTATCTCCATCTTAGGTGTCTGCACATGGGTTACTTTTTGGAGTTTAACACTTTCTTAAGAAAAAAAAAATGTGCTTTTCTATAAGTCTGAATAAAAGCCCACAAATGCAGACATTCCCAGAGTATAGTGGGGGATCATCACAAAGTGGAGAAGAGAAAAATCCACCCTAGAAAGCAGAAATGAAGTACCAGTAACTTTTTAAGCTGCAGATTCTCCAGTTTTAACAGCAACACAGCAAATATAATTTAATAATTACTACATTAATAGAATACTTTGTTTCCATTATTCTTTTTATTATTACTACTACTACTGTTAGTAATACTTGGGATACTAGTAACTATAGAAGACTATCTCTGAACATGACTTTTGAATTAAAATTTAGTGAAAATTTATTAGAATATTCTTACAATAGTATGAATATGTTTCCATGTAAGTATATTATGTTTACTGTAGGTTCATAAAACTATAAGACAGTTGAATATTTATCACTGTTCATAGTTTTTCTAATTTCTTAAAATCATTTTCTAAATGTAATCTTTAAAAATACGGGATTTTTATTATATCAAGCTTACAAGTAGTCATCATCTTTATCTTAAAATAATGTTCTAGGCTGAGTGCAGTGGCTTATGCCTGTAATCCCAGAACTTTTGGAGGCTGAGGCGAGTGAACCAACTTGAGATCAGGAGTTTAAGACCAGCCTGGCCAACATGGTGAAAACTGGTCCCTACTAAAAATGCAAAAAATTAACTGGGCGTGCCTGTAATCCCAGCTACTTGGGAAACTTAGGCAGGAGAATCCCTTGGACCTAAAAGGTGGATGTTGCAGTGAGCCGAGATCATGCCACTGCATTCCAGTCTGGATGACAGAGTAAGACTCCATCTAAAAAATAAATAGAATAAAATAAAATAATGTTCTATATCCATATTTTAAAGTATAAGCATATTTTCAAAATCCTTGTATAATAACCTCCTTTAAATATGGGCAGAACCTAGAACTTGCCTCTAAATTCCATGTTCTAAAAATACGGAAAAGGTGATAGAATAGTCACTAGTTTGATGAGCTTACATTTTATCACAAGAATAAAATGGCTTCTCAGATGTAATTAAGGTCCATAATCAGTTGTTTGTAAATTGGTTAAAAAGGAGACTTTCACTGGGTGGGCCTAACCTAAACCAGCTCACCTTGTAAAAATCCCATTGAAAGAGGGTCTAGAAGTAAGGAACTCTCTTTCCCATTGGCTTTGAAGAAGTAAGCTACCACAGATTTTACAGCTCTGAGAAAATTAATACTGCCAACAACAACCACATGAGTTTGGAAGAGGTCGCTGAGCCTCAGATGAGACAAGCTGCAGCTGATGCCTTGATTACAGCTTTGTGAGATCCTGAGCAAAGGACCGAGCTATAGCAGGCATTCTCAGACTCCTGACCCATGGAAACTGTGAAAGAATTAATGTGTGTTGCTTAAGACACTATGATTAATTTGTCATGTAACAATTAAAAAAATGACATTGTTAATCAACAAATATTTATTGAGCACTTACTATGTGCCAGTAGCTGTTCTAACACTTGGATACAACATTGAAAAGGACAGGAAAAGTCTCTGCCTTCAGGAAGTTTCCATCATGCATTGAGGAAGAAGATCAATGCTATCGTCAATTTAATACAATCACTTTTTTTTTCTCTAAGTGATATCAGTTATGTGGATTCTTCCTGTTTCATTAGGGTAACACTAGCTACTACAACAGATGAATATCCAAATATTGGTGACTTAATAATAAAAGCATAATTGTTTCTTTACACAACAATTCAGTGAGAATGTTTGCCACATAACATTCCACATGATGACTCAAGGTGTAGTGCTGCCAGCACCTAAAGGTTCCATGACTTTTGCTTCCAACTGAAGGAAAGGAAAAGTAAAAGTAGAGAAGGCACGTCTGCTTCTTAATCAACTTGGCTTGGGAGTGGTATACCTCTACTCATATTCCATTTACTGGAGCTAATCTCATGGTAGGAATTGTAGTGGCTAAGCAGCAGCATCTTAGCAAATATTCTGCTTTATTAAAGGGGGGCAGAGATATTCACTAGACAACCACCTGTGTCTGCTGCATTCCTCAATAGCTGCACATTTGCCTCAGGTAGACAAGACCATGTTATAGTCATTAAATCAATAAATGAGTATGTTTATGTATATGTTTACATACTGGGGGGACATATTATGTCAACTGAACCTATAGAGACTATAGTGAACATCAATTGTTTCGGTTAGTGCAATTAACCCGAAACAATTCCCGCTTCTGGTAACACACTGTTTTCAGTTTGGTTAGAGCCACAAAACCCACTGCCTACCACAAACAGAAAAACACATTGACCAGGCCTAGTAATTCAGAGTAGACTAGACCATTCTTCCAACAGGAACAATAGGCTCATGAACCAACCTGATTTGATTAGGGTTCTCCATGAGGTTTAACACCTTGAAGGATGTAAACATAGGGTTATAATGCCTTTCATAAGAACAAGAAGTCCTCATTCGTTAGAAAGGAAGCCTCAGAGACCGTAGGAAAAGACCTAGCCCAATGTTACTTTATTTTCTCATCTTCATCTATCACACATCATTCTTTCTTATAATCTTCCCTGTCTGATTCGCAAGGAATGGTTAGCAAGAAGAGAAAGAAGCTAATTAACAATGAGGAAAGTATATGAATAGAGCAAGTACGTGACAGAGACATTGGCAAGACTGGGTGACAGGGAGGACCCAGGCTTAAGGGAAGACGCAATTGCTCAAAAAAATGTAGTTAAATTAAGAAATGAGTTTAATACTGGAAAAAAAATCAGGCTGAATTTTCTTCTGTGGGCAGAAGAAGGACATTAAGATTTTTGGCAAAAGTAGTCATTGGACTCCTAAAACAAGTAAGAATCATAAAACTTCTGAGTTAAAATGTCACAGGGGAGATCATTTTTATCACCCAAATGCCCATCAATAATGAGTGGATAAAGAAACTGTAGAAAGTATGGTATATATAGAGAGAAAGCTATATATCTATAACATACATACACACACACACACACACACACACACACACTCACACTATGTATATATGAATACTACATTTCTATCTATATAAATGGAATACTACTCAGCCATAAAAAGAATTAATAGCATTCATGGCAAACTAAATGGGATTGGAGACTATTATTCAAAGTGAAGTAACTCAGGAATGGAAAACCAAACATCATATGTTCTGACTCATAAGTGGGAACCAAGCTAAGAGGATGCAAAGGCATAAAAATGACACAATGGACTTTGGGGACTCAGGAGAAAAGGTTGGAAGGGGGTGAGGGATAAAAGGCTACAAATCGGGTTCACTGAATACTGCCTGGGTGATGGGTGCACCAAAATGTTACAAATCAACACTAAAGAACTTACTCATGTATCTGAATACCACCTGTTCCCCAAAACCTATGGAAATACAAAATTTTAAAAAATAAAATTATAAAAGAGAACTTTTTATCAAACACCTTTATTCTCTGGAAAATTAATTCTAAGTTCAGAGGTGAATACTGGATAGCTGGAGAGTAAACCTAGCACCCTTGTGGGAAAGTGAAAAAAACAAAAAATGGAATAGCAATCTTTTTTCTAGTTCATAAGTATGATGAATGGGTTGTCACACACATGTATGAGATGTGCCTTCCTCAAACCTTGTTACGTCAGCACATTACCTATCTGACGTGGAAAAAAAAGGGGGGGAATAGTCCAGGTGATGTCAGAATGGGCTTGGAAAGCAGCCCTGAAGAAAAGGAGGTGGCTATGAAAAGCTTTCCATATGGAGAACTGACGTGAGGGAAAGCCACATGCACTGAGATTTCAGGTGAGGAAATGGAAGGAGGTGATACCACTAGCTAAAACAGAGACTTGAGTGAGGGTGCCAGTTCTAGGGAAGTATCATATATTCTATTTTAGATGCACACATTTAAAGTATGCTGCGTTTCTGAATATAGCATATCACACAGGATAACTTTCATATCGTATATCACCCAGGAGAACAAGTTATAGAGGACATATTCTGGGCTAAGAATTATAATAAGTGATTTACAGATATTATCAAATTTAATCCTCAGAACAGCCCTTGGAGGGCTTAACAGGCTGGTTTAGCAGCTTTGCCTTAAGACCCACAACTACCAAGGGCCAAGGCTGGGAGTGAAGCCAAGGTTCAGGTAATTACCAAGTTCATCCTCTCAACAATGATGTCTGCCATCATTCTGCCTTCCTGAAGATATTTTGGAGGCATAACCAACATGGTTCAGTGAGTAACTTCATAGGAGGCCTAAAGAAAGTAGAAGAGTCAAAAAACTTCCAAAGTAGGGGTAGACATATGAATTTTTAAATCATTCACGTGGAAGTGATCATGGATGCTTTGAAAAAGACATCGATCATTTCTCATGTTGCAATAATGTGGTGAGAAAAGACTATGGGGAAAAAACAAGGTGCTGAGCACCCATATCCATAATTAGATTCTACACAGACAAAAGGGGCTACTCAGGCAGAACAAGGAAGCTGAGAAATAGAGGATTTAGACACAGCAGGTTTAAAATATACCGTATCTTAGAAACACAAAATAAAGAAGTTTAAAGAAGGTGGATTTGATTACTCAGGTCAAATGCAACAGAAAGATGAATGTAGAATGGTGAAAAAAATAATTTGGTCATTAGGATGTTATAGTGACTATAAGGGAGGCAGTTCTACTAATAACATGGAGCCAGTTTGTGATGGTTAAATAGAAAAAGAAATGGAACAAGGACACTGGGTCTAACCCTGCATTTCACATGGATTTTTTTCTACCTACTTCTATATTATCTAATAACTGCATACAATATGCACGTCTACATTTGACACTGTCATCAAAATATTCACATCATTTAGCATTTGATTTCTTGCTACTTAGTTCCCTTCGTTATTCTCAGGTCATATTAGTCCATAGGCATCTACCTGTTCTAAAAGGGCAGATATTGCTGTCTATGTTCTAAATCACAGTGACTTAGAACAGGCAGAAATCCATTACCAGGGAAAAGAGTGGGAAAGAGCTGTGTAGCGATAAAGGAAAGAGGACAGAGTCAATAGAGCTTTTTAAAGGAATTCCTTCCTTTCCTCACTGTTACCTGTCTGGCCACAAATCACTCATGGTGAGACCGAACTGAGCTTACATGAGCTGGCTTTCTGGCAGCGTCCAGATTTGTGCCTCTTCTCAAAGGGGGAATAACTGGGTCTGCTGCAGAAGCAGCTCTTCTTTTGAATTTCAACATGGAATTTTTATGCAGTTGTGCTCTCTCCTCTTTGGTGTTATAAAACAGTCAAGCAAGATGAATATAGCTGGTAATTTATACTAGGAACTTGCATTGAATTATACTTGGATGACTTATTAAATGAAGGATATTATCAATATTACATTTGTCATAAATGAAAAACTTCACGTTTGAATGGATCTGATCCATTCATTGTTTTATGGGCACATTGGCCTCCAGAGAGAGTCACAAATCCAAATGATGTCCCTGAGTAATGGATTTTATGTTCTCTTCTTCAGGCATTGCTAAAAGATGTGTGAAATCCTTATGTAAAATGAGGGATCCCCTTTGGCCAAGCATCAAAAGAGACTTTCATAGAAAAGTTTCATGAGACTACCCGGAAATGTTCCTATCCAGCTGCTGTGAGCATGAAAGGCAAGGTGGTAAATGGCAGCTAGATAAATATGACTCCATATAAACAGAAGTACATGAAGCCTCTTTTTTTCCTTAGTAGTCCTTATAAAATAATCTGCTAAAAGAGCCTGGATTTGGAAGTCTAGGCATCCTCCACTCAGTGAATATTGGTTAACTCATCCATTGTGCTTTGAAACAAAGTTCAGGAAATTAAAAACTGCAACAGTTTCCTCATTTCCTTAGCCAAATTCCCTATTATATATTATATTTCTCTTTGATTTGTCATGCTTAATCTCTCTTTGGTGAACTATAATATCTTCCATACAAAACACAATCCATGATGTTCAAACTCAAGTCTAAAATAAAAACTGGATGACTATCATTCTTCTAAGGGCTTTGCACATCCTCTTTTATTTCATCCAGAGGCCTCTATGAAGTAGGCTATATTATTATCCTAAATCTTGGATAAAGAATTGAGTATTAGGAAATGATTTTTAGACTACCTAATATAAATGCTTTAGAACTCTAGAATCCTCACTCTTAACCATTAAATGTAATTCCTCATAAAAGCTTTCACACAAGAACATTTCCTGGAGTGCACGTACATCAGGCTAACAACTGAAACGGCTCAACAAGTGACCAGTGCAACCAATGGAAAGGGGATCTTGCCAGGCCATAGTTTTTAATGAAAATTCATAAGAGGGGTAAAGAGGAGTAACTAAAATTTCAGAGAAAATAAACACCACCTACAAAGGAATTGAGAGGCATATGACAAACAGCATTTTAACAGCAAGTTTCAATGCTAGAAGCGCATAAAGAATATTCTCAAATTTTGGAGAGGAAGTAAATTTTAACCTAGAATTCTATTCCCAGCCAGATGGTTAATCAGCAGACAACAGGATTAAAAGCATTTACAGGCCCGGTGTGGTGGCTCACGCCTATAATCCCAGCACTTTGGGAGGCCGAGGCGGGTCACCTGAGGTCAGGAGTTCAAAATCAGCCTGGCCAACATGGCGAAACCCTGTCTCCACTAAAAATACCCAAAAAAATTAGCTGGGCATGGTGGTGGGCACCTGTAATTCCAGCTACTTGGGAGGCTGAGGCAGAAGAATTGCTTGAACCCCAGAGGCAGAAGTTGTAGTGAGCCGAGATTGTGCCACTGCACTCCAGCTGGGCAACAGAGTGAAACTCTGTCTGAAAAAAAGAATTTAAGACATTTACAGACAAGTGCTGCCTCTGAAATGTTACCTATATATTCTTTCTTAGGAAGCTACCTGAGGGTGAACTGCGACAATGTTTTGTTGCTAATGATTAAACCTAGAGAGAGGAAGGCACAGGATTGAGGAAACAATAGCTGCAGCAACTGAGAGCACCAACAGGGCATCCTTGGATGATATTGCAGGGGTGACCTTGCCACAGGCCTGGGGAACACTTAGCCAGAATTTGGAGCAAGGATAGCAAAGAGCTTCAGGAGGAAGGTCACTAAGGAGAACAGTGACTCATTAGAATATTTTAAAATGATGGCTTGTTTGTAAAGAAACAAAAGTAAAAGGAGACTATTTTAAGCCACCAGCTTGGAGAACGGAAAAGAAGGAGTGTTTCAGAAAGAGGAATTAATGATTTGATGATGAGTGCACTGGGAAAGGGATCTAAAAGTAATTTTGAAACAGCTGTAATTGCCAGTTAAGAGACATTCATGTTGTATTTCTAAGATAACCAGGTTAGAAATTTACTCTGGTTATCTGACTTGGCCACCTTCAAAGTATCTTTCTTGTAATCCCCTTTTTTAAAATTTTTTTGGCTGAGAAGGGGCTTCCTTGTGGGTACTGCAGGGAGGAGGATGGATGGATGCTGGAAAGACCTCCTTCTTGCACCCATTTCCACCCTGGGAGGTCACCTCCAGCCCCACCAGCCAGAGGAGAAAGTCTAGATTCCTAAACAGGATCAGCCAAACTGGCCCAGATACAGAGAAACTCTTTCCGGAAGTTTCTAAGTCTATGTTGTATATTTTGGGAGGGACTTGGAGAGAGAGAGGGATGGGGAGAGATGGCTTTAACAAAGGAACCAAAATTAAAACTTAGAGTAGGAGTTAGGCCAAGTGAGAAGTAGGGAAAATTTTTCACGCTGAGGGAACAGGTTGGCAAGAAGTGAGGAGACCATATCACATTCCAGAAACTGATAAAAAGTTCTGTGTGATTAGATTGGGAAAGATCTCAATTCATGTGTGAAAAGCACACTGAAAAGAAGAGCAATTCAGAAAATCTTTGCTGGAGGAACGGACGTTCCAAACCTGAAGTATTCGTTCCATGTGAAATAGTTCTGAATTCACGTCCAAATATTTAGATGTTCCAATATAAAACAAAATAAGAAAACAGAACAAAAACACATGAACAGAGAAACAAGAATGTACGTAGAAATCCACAAAGCAAGAAAAATGGTGGAAAGCAAATGTGATCACACTGAGTAAAGATAATTTCCGTTGTGTTCAAACATGATAAAAATAGGCTATAGATCTAGAAGACTGAAATCAAGTTTAGAACCTTTATAAATTACTTTCTTATTATAAAAGTCATGACTGTTGTATATTCATATTTAAAACCAATCATGGTAGAATTGGTGACCCATAGGGTGCTCAGGGATGTGGCTTCAGGTGATGTTCAGTAAAAAGAGTATAAACTCAGGCCATGTCAGAAAATGGATGGCCCCTTCATAATCACAGTTGATCAAACAATGGCGGGACCAATACATAGAAACCCAAAGTAAGGTTCACTATGCTAGGGCAGATAATTTGAGTTATAGTCAAAATAATAAAACCGTAAAAAGTATTCAAAGAAAATTATAACTGCCTTCTGAAATTTGAAGAGTGAGAGCCAGGAAACAAAATAAGGATTAATTTAGGACATTCTCCAATTCTCACCAGTATTGCATCAAATGAACTGTGTTGCTTAGTTGAATGGGGTGTGAGCATGTGAGTTTTTCACATGTAAGATGCACTGCTGGTAATACTTTTCTTATTAATCATGTTCCATATATTTT